CNGCCAGTGTCAAAAAAATTCAGAATTGCTGCACACAGATCACCTTTAATACTAGGCCAGAAATGCTGGAAAAATAAAGGTGTCATACCATCTTCTCCTGGTGCCTTGTTTGGGTTCATAGCAAAAAGTGCTGCCTTGATCTCCTCCTCATCAACAGGTGCAATCAGCCTTGAGTTCATCTCCTCAGTGATAACAGGAGATATTAGATGTAAGATTTCTTCTTCCCCTAGAGACCCCTCAGTTGTAAAAAGAGACTGGTAGAAGTTAACAAAACAAGCCTCAATCTGCTCCTGGCTAACTGCAGGTCTGTTCAAATTATCCACCACTCTGGAAATAGCATTCTTCTTTCTCCTTTGCATTGTAATTGCATGGAAGAATTGTGTATTCTTGTCCCCTCCCTTGAGCCACTGTATCCTAGCTTTCTGACTCCAAAACTCCTCCTCAGCTAGGTGAGATTCATCCAGCTGCTTTTTGATTTTTTCCCATTCTTCCCAATTTCTTTGTCCCCCTAAAGCTCTCATATCCTCCAACTTTAGAGTGAGATCAGCAATTTTCTTTACATTATCAGATTTAGTCTCTTTGTTCCACTTAGTCAGTGCCATCCTTGTCATCTTTATCTTCTCCTTCAAGGTATACATCAATGATCCCTCCACAGCTTCACCCCAAACTTTTTCCACCTCCTCTTGGCATCCCGGTTTATTCAGCCACCTTTTGTCAAAGCAGAACCTTTTGAAAAATTTAGGTGGTGTAGCTCCTGTATCCAGTAGCAGTAAAGAATGATCAGAAGAGCTTTTATAGTATGTCTGAACTTTGGCTCGGTGGTTATCAGACAGCCATGAGAAGGAACCAAACACCCTGTCAAGTTTTGCCTCTATAAAAGTGTCATCTTTCCTGTTATTACACCAGGTAAAGGGGTAGCCTTCCATATGTACCTCTAACATTCCCATCCTAGCAACGAAATTGTTGAAGTCCTCATAGCTTCTTTGGGTTCTCACTCTTCCACCTCTTTTCTCATTATCTCCACACACTTCATTCCAATCTCCTCCTATGCACCATTTAGATCCCCACAGGTGTTGACTCCCCTCCAACTCTTGCCATTGCAGCTTTCTCTTTTGGTTATCAGTGCTGGCATAGATCAAAATCAGCCACTCACTATTAATTGATCCAGGTAACTTGTATTCCACTTGCAGACAAAACTGAAGGTTGATGATCTGCTCAATAACTACATCTTTGCTCCACAATAATAAAAGGCCTCCACTCAGTCCAACAGGCTCCACAGTAAAGTTCCTCTCAGCAAACCCAAGCTTCTTGCACACAGTGTCAGTAAAGGACTTGGTCTTCCTAGTCTCGGATAAGAAAACAAAATTGGGCAGGTGAACTCTTATGGAGTCCTTGATCTGGGAAACTGTAGAGGGTCCTCCCAAACCTCTACAGTTCCACAGGATTGTCTTCATTTATCACCTTGGGGCCATTCAAGGCTGGCTACCCCCACCTGTTGAGATTGTTCATCAATCACCTTTCTTGATTTTCTGGTCACTCGCTCCTCATTCTCCTCCTCTGAAATATTGCTTTGAGTCTTTGGTGGTCTGCCTCTCTTACCCATCACTGGACTATCTCTTAAGGAGCTAGTAGCTCCAGCTCTCTGCAACCTTCCTGATACTGACTTTGTTCTTTTCCAAGTTGATTTGCTAGGCTGTACATATTCATCATTTAGTTTCTGACCACCTTTCTCCCGTACAGCTATCTCCTTGCCATTAGTCTGTAACTCTTTATGAGCACTCTCTTTATCCTCCACCACCACTAGTTGTCTTTCTTGTCTCATGATGTAGTCTTCAGCTTGACTCATAGTGGTGTCAATGATTGTATTCACCTCAGGACTGACCACTCGTGCTATTGACATAAAATCATTTGGGAGGTTCCCTTGTGATTGATCTTCATTTACCTCTCCTGTGCTCTTGTGTGCTTCAGGATTCTCCTCTGGAATTTTATTGGATTGTTCCCCTGTATGATTCGGATTACTGTTTGACTGGGAAGGATTAGAGTTTTGAGAGGACCTTCCCATCCTACCAGTTTCCACAGCTTTCAACCATTCCCCGTACTGTCCCACTTTCTGGTTCCCTTCCTCAATATCCTTAGCTCGGAGTTCACACGCCCTCTCCAGATGTCCTACCATTCCACAGTAAAAGCAGCAGCTGACAAGCTTTTCATACAAAAATGTGACTCCCAATCTCTGATCACCCAGCCTAATATGAGCACACCTTAGAATTGGTTCCGACACTTCATGAGTTACTAGCAGTCTTAGATAGCTGCCTTGAGTACCCCCTGATTTCAC